AGACGCTGGTACAAAAAAGTGTCTATTTATTTCAATTGACTCTATATAATGCTTTTGTGCTTTACAAAGCAACAGGACGAAGTGGATCCTTCCTAAAATTCCAGAAAGAGATCATCACAGCCCTTTTGTATCCAGAAGGTGCTCTGGCCCAAACCCCAACCCAGGTGCAGTTAGCCGGCTGCATGAGATCCCAATTTTCCCGATGCCATTCCTGGTACCCCAACGCAAAGGACACCCCAAAAAAGATGTATCTGTAGTAGACATGGAATTAGTGACACCCACTTTTTCTGTCCCTCCTGTCCTGGCCAACTTGGTCTCTGCCTCAAGGACTGCTTCCGTCACTACCACACTCTAGTGGGGTATTAGTATAGGGTACAGCATGGCACAGTTCAGGGCACATATTTACACAGAGTCTCAAAAGATGTTAGGTAGTCAGGAAACTGGCTATTGCATTTTGAGAGACCCTACAATCTGTTTTAAAAAGTTAAAAAAAAAAAAGCATAAAAAAATAAAAAGTACAAATCCCCCCAAAAATAAAAAAATGTAAAAACCAAAAATAGTTATAGTTTTTTTGTTGTTGTCGTTGTTGCTGTTCTACTGTTACAATTTTACTGTTTTATTGTTACTGTTTTATTGTTAACCATTGCTGTTTTTTTTTTTTGCAGGAATGCCATTCAGCTGCAGCACCGACCTGTTTATTCTGACAGCAACAGGAACCTACATAAGTCAGTGTGGGCAGCGCTGCTGGATGAAATTTTTCATCCGCAGTTAAAAAAAAAAGAGCATATATGCCGAATCCTGGGGTGGCCAGTGGGTGGATGGCACCTATGCTTTGGCATATATATTTTAAAATATTTTTTGGTACATTTCATGTGTGCCCACCATTAGAAGTGGGTGGATGCAAGGCGGTATATTTTAATGGTGGGCATACCACACACTTTTTCTGGCAGAGATTTTTTCTTTTCATTCAGCCCACAGGCTGCATTAAAAAAAAAACAAAAAAAAAAAACATAGCATATACACCCAATAAGGACCAGCGACGGACTGGTACATCACTGGACTTTCAGTGGTTATACCAGGATGATGCCTGCAGTTGCAAGCATCATCCTGGTATCGTTTTTTTCAGCCGGCGATCGTCTTTCATGTAAAAGCAATCCTAGTGGCTAATTAGCTGCAGGATTGCTTTTACAAGCAGCCGGAGAAGATGTCTCCCTCCCCTGTTGCCTTCCACGGCCTTTTTGGGCAGTCCTGTGCCATCGGGGGAACCTGAGAATGCAGCCAGTGTTTCTGCCAGCTGACCACAGAGCTGATTGGAGACCGGAATGGTGTCAATCATCTCTATAGTCTAAGAAATCGGAAGCTACGAGCATTTCATCACTTCAGTTTTGCAGGATATAAACAGCGCCATTTGTAAATTGGGAAAGCATCTGATCACACTCATCTTGGTGAGATTAGATAATGTAAGGGCAGAGGAGATATTTAGAGTCTGATAGACCCGATTTCTCAAAAAAGAAAATATGACAATGCCCATTAAAGTTATAGGGGATATTTGCATTTCCCAGCATTAAAAGTGCTGAAAAAAAAATGAAAGGGACAGTGTCAAAATAATGAAAAAAATCAAAATAACTTAAGAAAAAAAAAAAACAACCCTCGCCTCCGCGCACCTGCGTGCACCAGTGTTGACCCCGTGCCAGTATGTTAACAGAGGTTGTACCATGCATGTGAGGTATCGCCGCAAATGTCAGATCAAGGGCAGTAATTCTAGCACTACACCTCCTCTGTAAATCTAAAATAGTAGCTTGTAAAGGCTTTAAAGCGTTGCCGATGAATATTAAAAATGTATGCAGTTTGTCGCCATTGAACGGGGCATGCACAATTTTAAAGCATGTCATGTTTGGTATCTATTTACTCAGCATACCATCATCTTTTATATTTTACCAAATAATTGGCCAATATATTGTGTTTTTGTGCATTGAAAGTAAAAAAAAGTGTATTTTTTAGTACTACGTGACATATAAAAATTGCAGCACCCACCATTTTATTCACTAGGGTGTCTGCTTTAAAAAAATATATAATGTTTGGGGGTTCAAAGTAATTTCCTAGCAAAAAATACTGATTTTTTTCATGTGAACAAAAAGTGTCAGAAAAGGCTTGGTCTTCAGGTGGTTAGAAGAAGAGTGATGCGTGGCATAAAATTCTAATGTTGGACATAAAAGAAGAATTTATTTTTTTACCACAAGTTTTAGGAAAATTACAAAAAAATATATATATTTTTTTTATTACACAAAATTGTCACTTAAATGATTTATTGCTCACACATGCCATGGGTATATGTGGAATTACTCCCCAAAATACATTCTGCTACTTCTCCCGAGTATGGGGGTACCACATGTGAGAGACTTTTTGATAGTCTAGCTAAGTACAGGACCCCAAAATCCAATAAGCACCTTCAGGCTTCTAAAGGGCTTTATTTCCTCATTACACTTCCTGACTACCTATTACAGTTTCGGAGGCCCTGAAATGCCAGGATAGCACCAAGACATCCCAAGGAATTTGATAAGAAGCATAGTGAGTATTCTGCAGATCTTGTTTGTTGCCACAAGTTTTTAGAAAATGAAGAAAGAAAACAAAAACATATTTTTTCTTTTTTTTTTTTATATGTTTCAAAAACGTCAGAAAAAATGAGATCCGCAAAATACTCAACAAGCCTCTTTTTAAATTCCTTGGGGTGTCTACTTTGCAAAAAGGGGTCATTTGGGGGGGGTTTGGTGCTATCCTGGCATTTCAGGGCCTACGAAACTGATAGGTAGTGAGTAAGTGAAATGAGGAACTTGCGCATCTTCAGACTTTCAAAGTGGTCATTGGATTTCAGGCTCCTGTATGTGGCTAGGCTCCCAAAAAGTCTCACATGTGGTATCACTATACTCGGTAGAAATAGCAGAATTTATTTTGGGGTGCAATTCCACATATACCCATGGCTTGTGTGAGCAATATATCATTTAAGTGACGACTTTGTGTAAAAAAAATAAATAAACGCAAAATGTTTTTGTAATTTTCCAAAATCTTCCATGGACTCAATATGCCTCTCAGTAGATAGCTTAGGGTGTCTACTATCCGAAAAGGGGTCATTTGGGGGTGTGATAGGCAGTCAGAAATTAAAAGCTGTGTAAATTCCATTATCTATACCATAGTTTGTAGATGCTATAACTTTCACACAAAGCAATCAATATGCACCTATTTGGATTTTTTTTTACTAAAGACTTGTAGCAGAATACATTTTGGCCTACATTTATGACGAAATTTGAGTTTTTTTGGATATTTTTACGACAGAAATGAGAAAATATAGGTTTTTTTTTTCACAATTTTTGGTCTTTTTTTTGTTTATAGCGCAAAAAATAAAAAAAAAACACACAGGTGATCAAATACCACCGACCAAAAGCTCTATTTGTGTGAAAAAAAAGGACATACATTTAATTTATGTACAGCATTGCATGACCGCGCAATTGTCAAACTAGTGCAGCGCTGTATAGCAAAAAATGGCGTAAGTTGCAGTATCTATACCATAGTTTGTAGACGCTATAACAGCAATGGGCAAACTACGGCCCGCGGGCCTTTTAATCCGGCCCGCGGACTGTGATAAGAAAAAAAAACAGCCAGGGCAGGCAAACATTGGCTGTCAGGATGTGTGTAGGCGGGGCAGCGTGACGAACGTGAGGGGAGCTAGGCTCCTCTCACAGTCCGCCCTGAAGACCGGAACGGCGCGGGAACTCGGCGAGAGGAACGCGCGGAGCAAAGGTAAGCAAATTGACACAGAGGGGACTTGGCTTACTACTTGGGGGGGAATAGTACTATGGGGGATGAAATACTATATGAGGGATGAATTACTATGGGGGATGAATTAATATGGGGGATGAAATACTATATGAGGGATGAATTAATATGGGGGATGAATTACTATATGGGGGATGAATTACTATGGGGGATGAATTACTATGGGGGATGAAATACTATATGAGGGATGAATTAATATGGGGGATGAATTACTATATGGGGGATGAATTACTATGGGGAATTACTATATGATGAATTACTATATGAGGGATGAATTAATATGGGGAATGAATTACTATAGGGGGGATGAATTACTATATGGGGGATGAATTACTATGGGGGATGAAATACTATATGAGGGATGAATTAATATGGGGAATGAATTAATATGGGGGGATGAATTACTATAGGGGGATGAATTACTATAGGGGGGATGAATTACTATGGGGGATGAATTACTATATGGGGGGATTAATTACTATGCTTACTATGGGGGAATATTACTATACTTACTATGGATGGCATGGTAGTGTTTAAATTAATCTAAACATTTAATGTTACAAATTTTAATTTAATTTATATTAATTCACACATACACATCATTCATCTACTCTTGGTCCGGCACCCGGGTCCAATATATGAACCCATTGCGGCCCCCAAGTCAAAAAGTTTGCCCACCCCTGCGCTATAACTTTCACACAAAGCAATCAATATACATTTATTGGGATTTTTTTTACCAGAGACATGTAGCAGAATACATTTTGGCCTAAATTTATTACTAACTTTGAGTTTACTACATATTTTCTATAGCCAAAAGTAAAAAATATAGTTTTTTAAAAAATTTTTTTTTTTATAGCGCAAAAAATAAAAAAGAGCGCAGGTGATCAAATACCACCGAAAGAAAGCTCTATTTGTGTGAAAAAAAGGACATAACTTTCATTTGGGTGAAGCATTGCATGACCACACACAACTACCAGTTGAAATAGTGAAGTGCCGAATAGCAAAAAAAGGCCTGGTCAGGAGGGGGGATAAATCCTCAGGAGGGAAAGTGGTTAACATGAATGCGTTAAACACAGCGGATCGGGCAGCAAATGTGACTAAAATCTGTAAACACACATGCCTTAATAAGTTAAGTGTACACCATCTGGTACAATGTTAATTTATATTACCTATTTCATCAGAACCTCTCCTGAGGCGAAGTGGATTTGGGTGGTCTAAATTTACAAACGATCTTCCCAGGGGGTTATCTGGCTAAAAAATACAAAGCATAATATAGTCAATGGAATGTGTAACAGTTTAAAGAAGAACTCCACTAGGTACAATTTGCATTTTAATTGCCCATATAACCAATTCAATTTAACATTAACAAAATTAATTAATTAACATTTAACAAAAAAAATTAAAACACGCTACAAATAAAACAGTTTGTTTATGGGCCACTATCGTCCAGTAAGAAAGCATAAAAAGATTTCTAGAACTGGGTATTTCTGTGACCACTCCTCAATGTATTGTTGTTGAGTAGATTGAAACAAGAAAAAAATGCCACAGGCACTTCCTTGCATTCATTTGTATTGTCTCTGCTGTCAGTCAGCATAATGAAGGAAGGGGTGATGACAAGCACATCAAATTTTATAGCGCCAGACATTGGACCTAACTGCTTATATACTGTAAGTCCTCACTGTAAAATAAAATCCTGCTTTTCCATGAAACCGGAGTTCCTCTTTAAATGAATTAAGAATCAGATCACACGAATAACAGGACATAAGAGCCACTACATGCGCATGTTTGTAAAGAAGACAATCCAGATGAGAAAGCAGGAATAAAAGGGAAACGCATGCACACACCATCATGTTGGGAGAATCTGAGGACATCAGCTGCCAACCTACAAAACTTTAATAAATCTGCCTAAGAATATCCCTGTGTGAACATGTGAGTCCTCTCCACGCATAGAGAGCTTACTGGTCACTATAGAAAACAGAACCAATGCCAAGCACCATTTTACCCAGAGTGCTCAGGACAGTCTTCGATTTAAAGTGTAAAACGTAACCCAAACTTATTTCTTAGTTTTAAAGTGGGGAAGGAATACAACCACTGTCCAGTTTACTGCTATTTGGGACTCAATAACTGCCACAATGGTTACACCATACAGAAAGTATAGCAAAATCAGCAACAGGGACAGACTGCAATACACAACTGAGGGGATCTAGTCTTTTCTATTAAAAAAAAAAAGTTTTTCTTACTTCTTAGTAATTATTTTACAGATGTGTTATGCTTAACATCCTTTCATATATTAGATCTGGTTGTGTCTAAAAATCACAGCGGAACTAAACCCATTGATTTACTCAAAAACAGTTACATTCAAGACGTGCTGTGAATGATAACTGTCAGAGTTGCTTATCCTCTGAGCTGAACTGCCAAGTGATCAAATGGCTGGTGTCATCACTGATCACATGTGCAGCACTATGGTAGCTGCAGATCATACAGAGTCCAAGATGACAGCTTCCTTGGCTGTAAAGGATAAAACGGTTTTAGTTCCACTTAAAGGAAATCCAATTTGTTATACTTCCAGCTTAAAAAAAAGTTTAGGAATATATATATTTTTTAAAAGTATACTTACCTAGGTGGATGTAACATTGATCCGATGCTGCATCTGACCCTCACCAGTTCTAAGTGTGAGAACTGAGAGATCAGACACTGCTGATCGCTTAGTTCTCCCCTCCGCAATAAGCAGAGAGACAGGACTGTCAGTCTCTCTGCTCTACCCCCTCAGCACTCACTGGAGCACTGGGCAGTAGGGGGGGCAGGAGGGGCCCGGGACTTTAGCCTGCTGTTGGCTAAAAACGGGTCACAGGAGCGCAGAACAAAGTGTCTTCCTGTGATCCACAGAAGCACAGCCAAACGAGCTTTAACAGGCCAATCTTTGCATAGCCTCAGATGTACTCCACAACACCTGCTTCATGGTACTGTCAAAATTCTGTAGCTTTTTTAGTGTGTTTAGTGTGAGATCCATGAAGGCATTTGAGGATTATCCTCCATGTGTGGGCACACCATCACAAACACACACTGCAGATGCAATGCAGAATTCACAATATGTTTTATATGAATAACCTACACAGCATATCCCAAGCTCTCAATTCTTAAACAGCTCCTGAAATACACAAAAGAAAAACAAAAAGGTACTTGGCAATAACCATTTTAGCTTAAATATAAATTACAATATGCTGAAGCAAATCATTTCAGTAAATGCTCGGTTTTGTTTCAGGGTCAGTTTTATGTACTTTGCATTCTTCCAATTCAAAATGTTCCTGGACATACTGTTTAACCAAAATATCCCGGACATAATGTATAACTAAAATAAACTGTGACACTCTTCGCCTGATTTTCTTTAATATGAGATATCTGCAGCAACAATTTAGATAACACTTTGCTGGGCACTGCTGGTATACCTCCTGAAGCCTTTATAAATTCTCTTTGTCTCTTGTATTACTTATCATATTTAGACAATCAAGCAGGCTTGAATATGACTAATAACATTGAGAAACATGTCAATAATGTCATTTTTTACATCAGGCTTTTGTATAAGAAAAAAAAAAAAAGCCTGAAGTGAGCTATTTGGAAAAAAAATCTTCTATATTACAGAAAAGTTTTTTTTCTCAATTTAAATATTTTAAAGCATTAGTAAAGTATCCTAGCTAATAGAAGAAAATGGGCCTCCCTGTAGAGTTAGGTCATAATGTACTAGCGTGCCCTACATACTAGTACATTATGACAGACTTGCCTACAAACTGAGCCCTTCAGCACGGTACTGTCATGGCTCTCCCTAGTCGGCAGCGCTTCCATCTTCACCCATCTTCCTTCCGGGTGTCGTATCTTCAGCCACTTGGATGGCCGTGCCGGGGGTGAAGTGTCACTCCCACATATGCACACAGAGTCACATTACCAAGGCACACAGAGTGAGCCATAAATGTGGTCTGAGCTACATATGTGCAACTGAGGTCACATTACCCGCTGACAGGTAGGGTTAACATTTACGACAGGAGTAACCTCTAGGGTCTCTTCTGTTATAAAAACTCTGCCTGTCAGCAGTATTTGCAATCCTTAACTTTACTACTACTTTAAAAATTAAATGTGATTCTTCAAGAGACGCACTTTTACAATTCAGTTATCACCAGGGGCGGACTGACCATTTGGAAACTCGGGCACTGCCCGAGGGCCCAGGGTCAGTAGGGGGCCCCATGAGATGCCCCTGGTACCTTTTTCATAGGCATTTTTAGGTTTGGACAAGGACACAGGGGCCCCATAATCCCCTATTGCCTGGGGGCCCCATGAGTTGTCAGTCCGCCCCTGGTTATCACCAACCTTGTTGGAATTATAGAACTTACTCTGACTATTCTCAAGCCTCATATACATGTTGAGAATATTGGACGAATGATCATCCATTTTTTGGTGAACATTCCCCACTTCCATGTGCAGATGATGTGGTCTTATCACTTGAACAGTCCTTGTTCTGGAAACCTCTAATATATTTTAAAAAATGTAATTCAATATTAAATTATTCAGTTAACCTTGAGATGCCTTTCTCCTATAAGAACAATCTTTGTCTTTCAATTATACTTTAAATCTTTTAGTTGCACAGTCCACAAAGGTAACCACCTTCAATCCCTTACTGCCTATTTATCCACTGAGCAATGCTAGTAGCATGACTGTAGTGTTTAGTTCTACTGCTCATGCTAAAAGTAGCACAGTGCATATAGATAATGGGTACCTATTTCCTGCAGAATGGACCAAATATACAAAATATTTTCTTTGTTTACCGTTTGTCTCTGCGATCCAGGCAAGTAGTGGTATTCTGTATCCGAGGTACCAATTGGTGGGAGCAAATTATTTCGGTTGAATGGAACTGGGGAGCAGGGCAGTTGGTCATTTGCAGTCTGACTGTCCTCAACAAAAATATAAAATCGGTTATTTTAACTATAAGTTCAATTAATACAGTCACCCAATTAATTTAGCAAGAATCCAACCAATCTGATGGTCTGTTGTGATGTGTTAAAACAGCCTATTCCTCAATGAACTGACCTTATTTTGCAGCATAACTCTCATTATGATGCTTGCATAAAACACGTTGCATTGGATCTTGCTCTGAGCTTTTAATTCCCTACAGCAAAATAACTAAATTTTTAATACAAAATGTCATTCCTTTTTAGTGCTATATAATATAATGATAGAGGATTCTCTGTATCTGAGAGGTAAGTGGCTATAAGGTGTCTAAAAACTGTAAGGAATTATTCTTCAACTTGCCTTATGGCAAAAAGGAAATGGTACAGAAACAATGATAACACTGTTCAACAAATTTTTATTTTTTGCCAGTTTTGGAAACAAAAGGATCCATTTCTTAATGAATTTCACATTCTGAGTTCAAATATAACAATGAAATTTGTCAATTGGCTCTAGTTTTTCTGTAAACGAAAAGTTTTCTACTATAGGCGTAATGACTACATAATTCACAATAATTATATAGATAGATGTCTTTCCACAAATATAAAGCAAGTGATATTGACTACATAACAAAGCCTAAATGGCATAATATATTGCATAGGATTACCAAGAAAAATTATAGCCATAAGCTAAGTTGAATCATTTTAATACTTAGGATTCTCACTAGTTTTGTCTTCAGTTTGTGTCGGTTTTGCTTCTCTTGGCTTTTCTCTTGTATTCGAGGAAAGGGCTATCTCTTACAACTGCACGTGACTACACGCTTCAGGTTCTTCCTCACTTGACTCAACCACGAAGGATTCTGGTGCTTTAGGAATTGGTAGCCCCTCTCCATGAGGAACTGGACGTATTGCCGATGGAATATTTGGATAGTGCACAGATAACTTTTTCTTCTTATTTAGCCCTTTTACAATTAGAGGCACCATACAAAAGTAACAATTACTAACATGATCTGTTGGCTCTCTCCAAATCATTGGCACAGCGAAAGGCATAGATGCCTTTTTTCCATTCAACCATTGCTCCAGTGCCATCCCACAAGAATTGCAGCATATATGTGGTGCCCAGCTCTTGTCCTGGTCTCCTATCTTGCAGCCAAAATACAAGTTGTAGGCTTTCTTAATCATTCCTGTTATCCTCCTTTTTTGTGAGATAAAAGTTATTTCAACCGCAGATATAGCAGAAATTATCTGCTTTATTCACACAAGTTCGAGGCATTACTGAGTAGCCTATATAAGCATAAAACTAAATGTAAAGACGCTGTCGAACTACAATCAGCTACAGATACTGCAGCTTTTATGCAGTGAAGTGATGCAATTAAAGGCTAATATTGCGTCATCTCAGTATACATGCAATTTTCTATTGGTCACCAGTATCAATTGCGCAATATGCAGCTGAAGTTGCATCATAATTTTGAATGGCTTACGTCATTAGATGGGTGAATATATCATGGAGACTAGAGCCAATCAACATTTTTTAGGGTCATTTTCGTTTTCAGCACCCCAAAATTATGTAAGATTAGCTAATTTTATGCCCAAAACTTTTTACCTGTTGAACAGTGTAATTATACCATATGGCATTTAGTAACCTAAATACGTACAGTCGTGTTCCCCTGATGACTTCTTCCATTTTTGGTGTCCCAGACCTGGAATTATTAGGATTATTACTTATTGGGTGAAGGGTTCTTGGGGGGTTACGCCGCCTTGCTGAAGGGACGTTATGAGACAATGAAGAGGTACTGTGTTCCAGTGGTCGGCCTGGCCATGGTTTCCCAGAGATTACAGCAGCGGAAGTGGGTCTAATGGGTAGCTTGTCATCAGAATCTCTATAAAAATGAAAAACAAAATCAGGTTTATAACAAACACGTCTACAATGCATTCACATACTTAAAAAATGTGTTTAAGTTTGGTTAAATTATTCACAAATAAGCATGTAAATGGTTGTTTTCACTATGTTGCGCATATTAGATAGGTATGCCTGTAACTTTTCAGAATGGGAGAGAAAACTAGAGCACTTAGTAAAAAGCACAGACTCTTTGTAGTGTCCTTGGTAGGCGGTGCATCCAATGCTGTGAGCCACCATAGTAGTTATTCTATGTAATAGTATACTATACTATATATACAATACATATGTAACATGCAAAAAAAAACAAGCTAGATTACCTCTCATAACAACTTAAAGTGTATCTAAGTTGAAAAATAAAAATGTAATATATTGCAAGTAAGGTTATAACCCTTGTCAGGTTTTTTTTTTCTTTTCATCTGTGTACCATTAGGCAAATTTCCCTTCAGTTCCTATCCCAAAACAGGAAGTGAAAGAAATCCATCCAAAGTGAAAGGAATCCCTGGTTGTCACCAGAACTAGTATCCCAATTGGAAGAATTTGCCTCTATTTCTGTCCTATAGACAACACAAATTTGGGATTTTTTTTTAACTCTCAGAGATAATGGTAAAATGGACAAATAGCAATGGTGAATCTTCCTAATGGGGCACAAAAAAGCCTTAAAAACCCTACAGGTGTTCTAAAACTTCTCTCCACTCTATGCAAAACTAAAAAAAACTATACTTTTAACAGCCATCAATTTTTTTTTTAATTTTTTTTAACAATGGCCAAAACTAAACTGTATCAACACAATTACAAAATGATGGTCAGACTCACAGTACTTTGTCCATAAGATGGAGATTCCTCTGCTGTAAAGGGATTCCATGAATCATCATTAGTTCATTCAGGTTACGCTGATTCACGATGCTACTCACTTGAGAACGATTGGCCTGCAATCCATAACATGTTATTATTCTTACAGTCTAGATATCACGGGGGGTGGAATCTAGTTATAAAATGCATTTTAAAACTGCAATAAGAAAATATGAGTATGTAATCAGGGAATTTTTTTAAAATTTCAACTTTTTTTTTATTATTTATAATTTTAGGTGAGATCGCATTTAACAATGTCAGGGGCCGCAACATATATATACAGTTCTTAAAAAATAGTTTAAAAAGTAAACTAGTAGCATTTTTTTTGTAATGGTGTGTACAGAATGAGGGCTTAAAATGATGCATTTCAGACAGATACTCATGGGCATGACCAAGGACATGTAGCAGAATCTCCATACTGTACAGACCAAAAAAAAAAAAATCACACTGGAATTGTAACCTGGTGTGCTTCCAGAATTTCAAGTATCATGTTTATGTATATAAAGGAGTGCTGTCTACGGCTGTAGTGGGGTACAGTGTGTCATACTTGTTTTTAGTTATCAGAACTAATCTTGCAGGTAAGTTCTTAAAACAAGAGGCCACAATGTCCGGCTGACTCCCAACAGATTATAATAAAAAAGATTATATGCGTTTTTATGATTACATCACTAGTCATCAGATATCTATATATTTTTTTTGAAGGATATTTTTCATAAAAAAATTACATTGTATTCCTTTAAGATAGAAGGAGTGGAAGCAGCAAGGCAGTACTAACCACATGAGATTAAATAAAGTTTTTATAAAGTACATACGTGGGAGGATCTCCCTTTCTTTTTTTTCCTGTAGATGCGGCCGCACTGTAAGCACTAGCACATTTAGGAGCCCAAAGCAGAGACAGCAGGCAGAGAGAGAACAGAACATGATGAACTTAGAGAAAACACAGAAAGAAGCAAAAGTCTAGAAGAGCTAGAACAGGAACAAACAGGGCAGAAACCCACATGGCAATGGCAAAACAAATGAAAGTACCAGTATGTCTGTTGCTGCAAACTGTGCTAGGGGCACTTCAGTAGAAATATTTTTATTGACTATCACACAGAGACTTCACAGTATGAATACTTATTTCAGCAATACAGGAACATTTATAGATCGGTCAACTGACCAGTGAACCATTTAGAACAAAAAAAAAAAAGTCCTTTAACCTACATGGTTGAATTCACTCAATGGCTATTCCCGAATAGAATCAGAAAATCAGGTGGTCAAATATGACCCCACCACCACCTTTCCCCACACATATCATGACTCCCCATATAATTCTGAACCCTGTGTAAATTCATCAAAGATCACCCCATTCCCCACCTGCAGTTCCAAGATTGCTGCTGATCCAATGTGGATATCTGTATTTGTCCTTTCACATTCAGTGGCTTTTTATTGAAACAGTTCCAATAGCAATGAGAATGTGCCAAGCAAAGTAATCCACAGCAACTGATCACAAGCCATCTGTTATCTGACTGACTCAAGCAAACTTAAACTGACACTAAACTCACTTTTGAAAAAAATAAAATAAACACAGTGTTTAAATAAAGTAAAATGTATCTTTTATCTCTCTCTTCCTTTGTTTCAGCTCTCAAATCCAAGCTGTTCTCATATTTCCCTTTCTAGTATGGCTACACTTGTTCTCCATGCATCCCCCCCCCCCCCCACTTGTATATGTAACACAGCCTTTCCTTCTTGCCCTAAGATAGGCTACAGAGCTATGTGCAGATTCATTCAGTTCTATGATAATTATAGTATGCATAGAACTAAATGTGACCAGAAAGAGCAGCACTGCTTACTGTACACTAATAGCTGTGAGGTGCATCAATGGAGGATTGGGAGTGTGCACAGGACAAACTATAAACCTGAAAACAAAAGCAAGAGACTTTGAAAAAAATATGGTCATGGTATACCTGATGTTTTAGAACAACTGATTAAAAAAAAATATGAGTTCACTGTCACTTTAAACCTGATTGGTTGCTATGGGTTGCTGCATGGTGCACTGGGCAATGTCTTGCGGACTAAAGCAGGGTATACGTATACACGTATTGAAATTCAGCTGGTTCAGCAGTAGTCAAACAAATTTCAGTCCATGTGTACCACTCTCTGTTCAACAGAAGCCATTCGTAGATCAGCTTCTGTTGAACGGGCCTGCTGGAAAACCAGCATTTGATCAGCACATGCAGTTCTGTGCATACCAAGTTTAAACCTGAAAATTGTGTTCAAGTATGATATAGTTTTCTTGTTCTTCAAACAGAGAATTTCCAGCCTGAAGAGAAAAATAACACACAGTACAAATAAAGATAGTGCCATGATAGTAATCAGCACACAAATTATGCCTGGATTTATATTTTTGCCCACATTTGCATTCAGACTCAGCTGTCCAGTAAAAGTGATGAAGACAGGTGTTGGAACAAACTAGAACACTTGCAATAGTGCTTACAACAGTTACCTTTAAGTTGGCCATTGACTTTTTTTTTTTTTTAGCAGGCTGAATGGAAAAAAATCTAACAGATTCTTCCATCAAGGAAAGTGAGGTGGATGGAGGAATCCCGCTGTTGGGACACTGTATTATGACAGTGAGACTTTCCGCTGTCAGAATACACTGATCAGTGGTTGCAGCCGCTGATCAACAAAAGTTTTCCAGCATGTCCCTCCAAAAGAAGTCAATTGATCGACTTCTCTCAAGCACGGATGGCCATGCACTGATCAAAAATCGGCCAGTCCCTGCTGAACTGGCCAAATTTTGTCCTGTCTATGGCCAGCTTTACATAGATGTGCTTCTGTAATTGAAAAACCACCTCTGGCAGTGTCATAGTTTGTTCTTAACCCTGTCACTTTTGCTGGACAGCTCAGTCTGCATGTAAAAGGTGAAGAAAATATAGATAAAAGCATGTGCAATCAAACTGTTTTCATATACAGAATGCTGACACTGCAAGTATTAACCATGCATAGGACAGAATAATTTTTTGCAACAGCAGTTCTTTTTAAACTGATGCAATTATTCCCAAAGTGAGGAAGGAATACAGTGACTGATTTCTGCAGCTGGTTGTAAAGGTACAATTATCATGTCAGTGTGGGATTACGCTTACCACATTGGGGGAGATAGCAGGAATTTTGGAATGTGGAACGGGAGGTAGAACCAATGGAAGGCGCTGGAGAGGAGCATATAGATTAAGAGGCTCCACTCTAGTGGTTTTAATTGCCATGTCATGTCTGTCATCATCTGCAAAATAAGAAGTATAATTAAATATAATAAAATAGTTATACAGTTTTAGTTATCTACAAATTAGCTAAGGCTATTTGAACATAAAGGACTGTTACATGCAGGAGTGAAAGCTGAACATACATTTATAGCGTGTGTGTACATAGTGGTATAAAATCTTCATGTTCTAAAGCTCTGAATATTTGGTAGATTTAAAAGCCATGAACTAGGATCCAAAAACATGCCTGAGCTCCTCCCTAACCGTGAACCATAAATTAAGATTTCTTTACTGCACTGTATTTTGTGGAAGCTGCAAGAAGAATGTCCCGTATACTTTTAGCTAAGGCACCATCACCACCTGCTGGACAGGTACAGTAAGTGCAACTAATATTATTCTTTTACAGGCTGCCTCTACATCTTGTGTTCTAGTGATGGGGTCACTTTAACCACTTCACATCTACAAAACGTATTACATGTCTTGAACTGAAGTTGTTAAAAACAAATTCATAGCTGCAGCTTCAGCTATATGCCTGGTATTATATTTTACAGCCAGCAATCAGCTGTTCAGTAAAAGTGATCTGGGTGCCTGGACATTCCTGTTCCTCCTGGGAGCCCGGGACTGTGGTAAACAGCTGGGATAGCTATATATAGAGAAGATCCACGAACATCTGTTCCCCGATCTCCTCTATGACTAGTGAACCTGAAAGTGACAATGATTTTTAGAGCTGTCACACACAACTGCAAACGCACGCATCGGATCAGCATGTGGACAGTGACTGCACCATACATGTGCAGTATCACCGCAAATGTCAGACTGAGAGGAATAATTCTAGGGCCCTAATTCATGGTTATCCCTAAACTGATAACCTGTAAGGGCTTTTAAAGCATCACCTATGAACATGTTTAGGTACCATAGGTGCCATTTCACGGGCACAAGCAATTTTCTGTCTTGACACATTTGGTATCATTTTACTTCACGAAACCTCTTCTTTATATTTTACCAAAAAAGAGGTATTATAATGTGTTTGCATGCATTCTAATTTATTTTAGTGTATTTTTTCCTGAAAAGGGGCATTTGATGAATGGCTGTGCATATATTGTCTGACATAAAAAATTGCAAGGCCGCCTTTTAAATTCTCCTCTACTTTCAGAAAATATATAATATTGGGGGGGAGGGGGGTCTAAGTAATTTTCTAACTGTGTAGAAAGACCTCACACTTTGAAAATTTTAAAACTAGATCCTGGGCCATTCCATGTCACAAGCAGCCTAAACATAGAATTGCCTTTCAAATGCAACTTGGGAAATAATATCAAGCTCCCCCCCCCCCCCCACCTCTAAGCTGTCCAGCCCTCCTCCCTAGCACCATAGGAAACTTTCATAATCCTCTGCATATCTTGGTCAGATTAGTTGGATGAAATCTGATTATATCAATCTCCCAAGATACCTGTGAAAAGCAGTGGGCTGCCTGTTGCCAGTTTTGGAGCTAACGATTTTGTATTTATCTTTCCAATTTGAAGTATTCGAAGTCTGTTGTATCTGACAATTCTATATATTGTAGGTCCACCCATGGGACTGAGCAGGTCTACTTTTTTGGGCTAAATTACTATAAGAAGGTGAAATTCTCCATATATGTGTGAATATTCACTTTAATTATCCAATCATTTGAAAAGCACGTTCCTGATCACTTTAAATACCCAATCAAGTGCAGAAGAAATAAGTAAACGGGAATTTGCTTTTCACATGACTGGATAAATGATGTGAATATTCACAAAATCAATAGTGCAATGATTCTCAACCCCTTTTGTAAATCAGCCTCTTAAGATCTGCTTTAATTACAATGAAGTGTTGCTGGAAATACTGTAAATACTGCAGACTTTCACCACACTCACCTGAGATTGATTCTTCCCAATGTCTGCAAATGAGCTCCTCTAAACATCCAACCACTTCCCTCCAGACATCATCAAATAGACAAGCCAGCACAGCCTCTTTCTTGCAGTACTGTGGGGAAATAGGGGGGTAACCCATCTTCAGGCTGTCCAAAGACATTACTCTGTGCCATTCGAAGAGCTCATCATCCCTAAGAAAACATTTTTTATCTTTACATCGTCCAAATGTTTGTGTGCAACAACCAAACTAGTAAAAGAAAATATTTGCCACAAAAACCATTTAGAGTATAAGTTCACCTTTCATAATATGTTACATCCATATTCAGGGTGTAACATATTACGAATGGACTGGCCCCTGCTCCCCCCTTTGACAGCTAGCGGGGGATTCTACAAAATTTAAAAAGAAAAAAAAAAAGGCTGCCATGCGGGATTTCTCCCACCCAGCCGCACTACTCATTCACAGTTTTCTGTGAATGAGAAAAATAAAAGTCCCGACAGCCTTAGCGGCTGTTGGCTTGTAGTTCTGTGAACTACCACAGCTCTGTGAGCACTGTGGTAGTTCACTGATTTTTTCCTGTTAGTTTATCTGCTTACCTGTACATGGCGTATTGGCAAGCAGATATACTGACAGGTCTGCAGGAGACCTGCATGGCGCAAGGAATCAGCTGATTGCTGGTGCAATGCTCTACAGGCTCCTGCAACAAAAAATAATAAATGCACATTTTTATTTTTTTGCACGTTTTTTACCTGCAAAAAACATGCATTTGTTATTTTTTATCAAAAGGTGAACTTATCCTTTAATGTCTGACACAAAATAGCTGAATTTTTCTTCAATTGTTTCAATGTTTTTCTGAAGTCGCAGAAACATTTTGTTGCCACACTGTCTGCTAGTGACAACCACTCACTTATCTCGGCTGTCAAAAGCCAAATATTCTTCCATAATGCCATCTGACATGATGACACCTACAGCATCCTCTTCATCATCTTCACCAGAGAGGGTAAAGGACATTGGGGTGCTGGAGTCGCTAGTTGTGGAGAGAGGAAATCTTGTGCCATAAATGCCCAGCCTGGAAAACACGATTGTAAATGAAGACACATCATACTACTACTACTAGGATGGTATATATTGTATACTTTAGTGCATCAATGATATGCCCTGCTTCAGTAGGTATTCTCCTCCCCATTTCAGTACTTGCTGGACAGAAGACCTACAGCATTTAGCCAAACGTTTTGTGACGCCCAACCAACACACATTATTTGCTGGACATGCCATCCCCAAAACCATGGGTCTGGAATTGGCTCCTCTTTGTGACTATAACAGCCTTCACCCTTCTGGGAAGGCTTTCACAAGATTTTGGAGTGTGCCTATGGGAATTTGTACCCATTCAGCAATAACAGCATTTAGGAGCTTAGGTTCTGGTGATGGATGAAAATACCTGTCTCTCAGCTGGCATTCCAATTCACCCCAAAGGTGTTCAATAGGATTTAAATCAGAGAAACACTCAAGTTCCTCCACAACAAACTCTTCAAACCATGTCATTATGGAGCTAGCTTTGTGCACCGGGGCACAGTCAAGCTGGAACATAAAAGGGTTTTTCCCCAACTGTTGCTACAAACTTGGAAATGCACAATAATGTAAAATATTTTTTGTATGCTGCAGCATTAAAGAATTCCAGGAAAAAAAAAGTTTTCTGTTCCCAAACTGCATGGGTTAACTGCTCATTTTTGTCTAGGAAGACCACAAGACCGGTCTCTGCTGCTCCTGTGTCGCCCCTTGCAGGGCAGAGCCCTAAGGCTTGAAGGAAAAAAAATTCCCCAGAGTTCTGCTTAAGAGAACCCTTCACTGGAATCACCTGAACTCAAAAATCTGGAGTGGGGAACCACCACATAGTGAGCCACTGAATTTTAAAGAGTCTACAAGACATGTGCAGACAAACATTTATTCTAGAACTCGCAATCTATGAGGAATGGTGTACTGTCTAAATAACAAGTCCCCTGTTATGTTAATTCAGGCAACTGTTAACTTTTTTTTTTTATCAAAGTCTCAAAATATTACTATGCTCATGTAATGCTCACTCATTAGAATCTCTTCCATGAGTTAAACTGTAAGCTGTGGAAGAAGCAGCTTCCGAGGCCTGGTTGGAATACCACCTGTACCCATCTTCAACTGGAGCCACTGTCTGCTTGCCTTGTATTCTGAAAAAGAAAACACTGATCAGCATAGATAGAGAGGAGCTATCCCCATCAAAGGGGATTAGATTATTCATTGATTATTATTGATTGGTTTATTAGAATCTTGCTACTATTGTTACTCTCTTTATTTTACCATGGTGTAACCTAGTGGATGCAATTATTTACTGCGGCGATTAGGGCCAGAGCGAACAGTAACAGCAGGAATCCAAGATTCCTGCTGCTGCTCTCAGTGGGTAGGTGTGCCCGCTGGCCCTGTTCAGTATAATGACAGGTCGCTGGAGATCGCAGCTATTTGTGGGTTTTCAAGCCAGCAATCACCGCAGGTAATCACTAGCTGTGCAGGGAGCTGCAAATAGCAGCGGCCACCAGCGATCTGTCATTATAGTGAACGGGGCCAGCGGGCACACCTACCCACTAAGAGCCGCAGCAGGAATTGCCTCTACAAATCGCAGCACCCCTTTAACTACCCTTCTATACAAGACTTCTTTAAAATATATTTACAAAAAAAAAAAAAAAAGAACAGTGAAAGCAGCCCAGTAAAATATTATTAGTAAGAGCGGCTTTGAGTTGTAAAATACGGAAAGTAATAAATATTATAAGAAGGGTCCGGATAAAAAAGGGGTTGTGTGATAATAAAAGGAGAAGCGAACAGATGACAGTAAGGGACAACAATAATTAGCTATTAACAATTGATGTCAATATCTATATTGTGTCCTGCAGGGTGAAGAGTGCCAATCTCAAAAATCCATTTGGTTTCGAGTTGTGCAACCACTCTCCTTTTGTGTGTACCTCTCCAGTGTGATAAGAAAGTATCAATGTCTGCAAATTTGAGTGACCCTTCCACACTCTCATTATCAGTTGTATTGCTGTCACACTTTTTAGTTTTTAGTTTTTGGATTTTTAAATACCATTTTTCAGCATCTATACTATGATTATTAATCAGATTAATTATCATTTTATATATTTATTTCTATTCCCATTGAATACGTGTCTTTTTACTTTATTTTAATAGACACGAGTGGTATACAGTCCTCATGACAGCGTTATTACCATTCATCTTTAGTTTTACATTATTGTTATAAATATCATTATAACCTATTTAATAGTCCAAAAGCATAACTATAAATCATTTTTAAAGTTATAATTCTTTTTCCGTAATGTAGTGTGTTTCACGGGACTTAATACCTCCAGCTGGTATCTTGTTTACATGATTTGTGATCGGTCCATGGCAAAATGGCGTCCCCGCACGTGCGCGCGCACGTTTTTGCTCCACAACAAGATGGGGCACGCGTAATGCGCATGCACCTTCTACAGGATTTAAGGAAACGGCGCACGTCATGGCGGTACTGGCAACCCCTTCTGAAGAAGTGCGTGCACGAAACTTGTTAAGGAGGAGCCAATACGCTGTGACATCACGCATCTTGCTTGGTGGATGGTCAGTCCCTCTCCACATTACTTTACATGAATACTTTTATATTGTTTTACCACACAGATTTTCAATAAATTTTTAATGCAATACTGCACCATGGGCTATTCTCTGTCTGGCTCCATATCGAGCTGAATTCATTTGCAGAGCCCACCTTGGAAGAGAGCTGCAGTATCCCACAGAACCAGAAGAGGGAGTTTTCTACTACAGGTTGTAAAACACCCATCCATCCTTTAAGGAGACCTCTGGCAGGATTCAATCCTTGTACACCCAGGAGACATCCGCAGGGCCATATACTACCCAGAGGGAGGAGAATCTGTACCCGGCTTACCTCATCCATTCCATCCTTAGAGGGGACCTCTGGCTATATTATTTACATGCATATTTAAAATACGCATCTGGTGAGTGCGTATTTTTATCACACCTTTGGCACATCACTGAATTCTGGAGTAATCAACTGGCACCTTAGCACAAACTGTCACTTTATGAACATTTAATAATTGTATTCCTTTTATGATCTACATATTACTATATTTTATTACTTGGATTACTATTTGGTTTAATATATATTTTAGCGCTGCACCTTTTTAGTTTGTATATGTGGAGGTTTTATCTGGTTACCTTTGTGTGCATTAGCGGCTATTATTAAGCGCTCACTGATCTTTTTACCCATTTATAGTATTAATGGTAAGTATGACAAATAGAGAGTTTCCAAAATGTGGAGACAGACAACAATAAAAAAATTGACACGTGTTTTAATCCCTCTCCACTGCTACTACATAAATACAATGGAGTCTATTTGGACATTGTTTTTTTATACATTTAAAGTCTACTTACAGTTGTGCAATGCGTAGAAGGTATGTTCAGATACAAATGTAACACTAAAAGGCAGCCAAGTCTAAAACCAAAGTGACATACCGCAGATGTGGGAAGGATGACATCCATTGATGGCACTCTTCCTGTAGACCATCCACCAACGTGCTGGCCTTCTGTTCATAGAGCAATTCATCAATCTGCTTGAAAATCTTTTGCACCTGTCGTGTTGCGGCCTGGTCAAACTCCTATAAAAAGGTGGCACATGCCATGAGTGCTCCATCTATAATGACTACATGTATGAAGGTGATATATATAGATATATACACACACATACATACATACACATATATACATACACACACATACATAGATATCCTTGGTTTCAATTCCTGAATATAGTTACCGTGTTAATAAAAAGGTCTGAAGCCTGATTGCAAAGAAACATACATGTAGAAAAAGTTAAACATGTTATCAATATACTTTCTTTATCATCTATTGAGGGACACAGGATTGAAGCCTTGGACATGTGGATTATACTGCTGCCTTCAGGAGGTCTAAACACTAACAAAAAGAAAAAATGTTAAGCCAGCTCCCATATAACCCTGCCTTCAACCATCATGCCTCATTTTTTTGCTAGTGTCCCAGGAGACTGAATGCCTTTTCCTCAACTCCTCCGTAGAAAACTTTTAACTATCAGTGTCACTGATGACGAAACACGTAGGGGGGATCCAGAGAAAGTGACTTGAATATGTACCGAAACGTGGTGGCCATTTTATTGGTTTGAAACTTATCCACTTTTATGGTGACATGCTGTTTTCATTCATTGCTTTGATGTACATTTTATTTTAAGCTTTGGGGCAATAAATCATCTTTAATTTACTACACTATGAGGATCTCTTTGTTTTTGAATAGGTTTGTCCTTTTCAAGGACAAATCTTTTCTACAGGTCAATTTTTCTCTTTAACTTTTGGAGTTTGAGTTTGGAGTCCTAATATTGTTCGGATAACAGTCAGCTTTTGGAATACTCTACGGGGGGTTTACCCATTCATCATTGGGGGCCAACCTGATCCTTTGATGTCTTAAAGTGCCCAGGTCCATGGCACGCGTTTGGAATCTGTATTGCGCATTTTGAGCTATCCTTAATTGGGGGTCAATCTGATCTGGTAAGAGGCAATATTTTTTGGGTGTTGGTGGCGGTGAAGTTTTTCTCATCCTGATGACCAGAATTGGAATATCCACCATATTGTCATCTCAGTACAGAGGAATCCATTTCATTTTACATCCCAATTGGACTTTTTATTGCATGTATCTTAATACATGTATATCTATTTATACCTATTGTTACATGTAATGCTGCTTTTTTATATATACAGTGGGGATCGAAAGTTTGGGCACCCCAGCTAAAAATGTGTATTAATGTGCATAAAGAAGCCAAGGAAAGATGGAAAAATCTCCAAAAGGCATCAAATTACAGATTAGACATTTTTATACTATGTCAACAAAAGTTAGATTTTATTTCCATCATTTACACTTTCAAAATAACAGAAAACAAAAAAATGGTGTCTGCAAAAGTTTGGGCACCCTGCAGAATTTATAGCATGCACTGCCCCCTTTGCAAAGCTGAGACCTGCCAGTGTCATGGATTGTTCTTAATCATCGTCTGGGAAGACCAGGTGATGTCAGTCTCAAAGGTTTTAAATGCCCAGACTCATCTGACCTTGCCCCAACAATCAGCACCATGGGTTCTTCTAAGCAGTTGTCTAGAAAACTGAAACTGAAAATAGTTGACGCTCACAAAGCTGGAGAAGGCTATAAGAAGATAGCAAAGCGTTTTCAGATGTCAATATCCTCTGTTCGGAATGTAATTAAGAAATGGCAGTCATCAGGAACAGTGGAAGTTAAAGCAAGATCTAGAAGACCAAGAAAAATATCAGACAGAACAACTCGCAGGATTGTGAGAAAAACAATTCAAAACCCACATCTGACTGCACGATCCCTCCAGAAAGATCTGGCAGACACTGGAGTTGTGGTACACTATTCCACTGTAAAGAGATACTTGTACAAATATGGTCTTCATGGAAGAGTCATCAGAAGAAAACCTCTTCTACGTCCTCACCACAAAAAATCATCGTTTGAACTTTGCAAATGAACATATAGACAAGCCTGATGCATTTTGGAAAGAAGTTCTGTGGACCGATGAGGTTAAAATTTAACTTTTTGGCCGGAATGAGCAAAGGTACGTTTGGAGAAGAAGGGGCACAGAATTTAATGAAAAGAACCTCTGTCCAACTGTTAAGCATGGGGTTGGATCAATCATGCTTTAGGGTTGTGTTGCAGCCAGTGGCACAGGGAACATCTCACGAGTAGAAGGAAAAATGGATTCAATAAAATTTCAGCAAATTTTGGATGGTAACTTGATGCCATCTGTGAAAAAGCTGAAGTTAAAGAGAGGATGGCTTCTACAAATGGATAATGATCCTAAACACACCTCGAAATCCACGGGGGATTACATCAAGAGGCGTAAACTGAAGGTTTTGCCATGGCCTTCACAATCTCCTGACCTCAACATAATTGAAAATCTATGGATAGACCTTAAAAGAGCAGTGCGTGACAGACAGCCCAGAAATCTCAAAGAACTGGAAGACTTTTGTAAGGAAGAATGGGCAAAGATACCTCAAACAAGAATTGAAAGACTCTTGGCTGGCTACAAAAAGCGTTTACAAGCTGTGATACTTGCCAAAGGGGGCAGTACAAGATATTAACTCTGCAGGGTGCCCAAACTTTTGCAGACGCCATTTTTTTGTTTTCTGTTATTTTGAAAGTGTAAATGATGGAAATAAAATCTAACTTTTGTTGACATATTATAAGAATGTCTAATCTGTAATTTGATGCCTTTTGGAGATTTTTCCATCTTTCCTTGGCTTCTTTATGCACATTAATACAAATTTTTAGCTGGGGTGCCCAAACTTTCAATCCCCACTGTATACACACACACACACACACACACAAATGTACTTTTTTTTTTTTTTTTAATCAAAGTTCTTAATACACCATGGAGATATATTTCTTTTTCCATGTTCACAGAGTGCTCAAAACTCACATCTCTCTCTCTTTTGGAGATTGCTTTCTATGGGAACATTTCTTTTATTATTGCCCTCCCTCTCTCTGACATCAAGGGTTATGGATGCTCTATCTAGCCTAAGAAACATAGCTTGTCTGTTTGGACTTCCTTTCCTGGAAGCGAGGGGTTTGTTTGACAGTCTTAGGCCTTTAGCCCAGGTTCACACTGAATAGGATTTTGAAATCGTGTGGCTTCACTTGAAGTTGCACGATTTCAAAGTGGAATGTCAGTGTGACTTCAGGTGTGACTTGAAAGACCTCATGCACAGGTGTCAATGCCAGTCAAGCCAGAAATCAGCAAAAATTGTGCAGGAACTCATTTTCAAATCAGTGCGACTCCAATTAGAACGGTTCCATTGCCAATCATAGGGTGCGACTTGTCATGCAATTTAATCTGTCAAATCACATGACAAGTCGCATCGGTGTAAACGGGGGCTCACCCTGTAAACTTTTTTAGCTAAACAATTCACCTGCTTAAGTTTCCTACCTGTTGGTATGCTGTTATTCCACCTAGTTTCCTTAACCACTTCCTGTCCAGACACTTTTACCCCCATCCTGTCCAGGCCAATTTTCAGCTTTCAGCACTGTCACACTTTGAATGACAATTGCGCGGTCATGCAACACTGTACCCATATGAATTTTTTACCATTTATTTGAGACAGATAAAGCTTTATTTTGGTGGTATTTATTCACCTCTGGAATTTTTCTTTTTTTTGCTATGTAAATGAAAATGTCCACAAATTTTGAAAAAAAGTGTTTCTCTTATAAAATTTTGCTAATAAATAATATTTCATCATAAATCTTGGCCAAAATTTATTCCATTATCTTTTTAGTAAAAAAAAAAAAAAATAAGCCAAATAAGTTTATAACCAAAAATTATAATTTTTAAACTTTTTTTTAAATTTTTATATTATTATTTATGGGTTTTTTTTTACATACTGTCAATCTAGCAGTACCATGGTGACACCATGGTGACACTGTACTACTTGTGGGGGGTGATGAAGATTTTTTTTTTTTTTTTACACTGATTGCTTTTACACCCATATAGGATGTAAAATCAATCATTTCTCTTTCTCTCTGTCTGCATTCTTGCAGCCATTGAGAACTACTGAGTGAGCTGTGATTGGTCACAGCTTGTCACATGGTACAAGGCTGTTGTGAATAGCCTTGTACCATGTGACCTCTGTGATCATTCACAGATTTGACACGTAGTAGGCAATGATGTCACAAGTGACATCTTGCTTACTACTTTGCATGTGATCACTGATTGGCCCGTCCGATGATTGGTGTTTCACTGTGTCCGGAGGACACAGCGGGCACCGGATCGCGGTGCTGTGCGCTCCCAGGGAGCGCACACAAGCAGGGTGCGGGGAGGCCGTTTATAAATGGCCACCCGACCCTGCACTGCCACCGTCCGGCCGTTTATATACAATGGCCAGACGGGAGGTGGTTAAAGTGGCTGTAAACCTCAGACATGAAATATGAACAAAGCATATCCCTCTATAGTGTGTACTTAATAAGAGCACTAAGTGTCATTTGACAATGTACATATTTTTTTCTGTCCACTCCATAATTAGCTAAAAACACATTTTCTACACCCACACCTATAGATTTTCAAAATAATAAAAACCAGGATCACTTAAATAAGGAAGATTTTAGCACAATAATCCTGCTTCCACCTCCATCCTCTACAGGACTGTATATCATAGGCCTTTTACCTCCATTGCTGCCAAAAAATAAATTTTCCCAAGCAGACAATCAGAATCAAAATCTGAAACTAAGCTGAGGAGATCAGATCATTGGCAATGAAGCTGCCGAAAGTGTCAACTTACCTACGCACCACCACGACCCAATGACAAACATTTACACTGATTACACACAGGTATGAATAACACCCTATTCACAAGAGAGCTGAAACTGCTGGTCAAAACAGAACCAAGGTTTCATCATGAGAGACAGGGGTTGATTTACTAAAGGCAAATAAGATGCGCACTCCAAGTGCACTTGGAAGTGCACTGAAAGTGCAGTTGCTCTAGAAATGAGGGGAACAAGCAAGGATAATAAAAAAAAAACAGCATTTTTGCTTGCACATGATTGAATGATAGAAATCAGCAGAGCTTCCCCTCAGACCTAGGGCAACTGCACTTTCAGTGCACTTGGAGTGCACAGGCTGTTTGCTTTTAGTAAATCAACCCCCAACAATACATTTTACTAATGCAAACTTGTTTTACCCTCCATCTTGAAGGGGTTAAAAGAAGCCTTTGCAACAATACGTGCCCCTCTCTTTCCACACTCTCCATTTGTCCCTTCTATTTCCCAATTCCCCTGAGTCCTTTCCTTGTCTCCCTTTCCCTACCCCTTTCTTATGTGCCCTCTAACTGCTCTCCATCTTGCTTTATTTGTTTCCTGGGGGAGTACCTTCTTCTTTAACACCTTACTATGGGGAGGCCAAATACTCAATACCCAAGGTCTCCTCAGGTGCCATGGGTGCCCTAGAGACCGACATACTGCACAGCTAAGGGAATTCTCTGAATGTTTTTTTAGGCTATACATCAAATGACAAAGTCATAATTAAATGACTTTGATGTGGAATATGGTTCATGCACACTTTCTCCCAGGAACTCCCACAGGGTATTTTTGTGTTCCTCGTGTTTATATGTGTTATTTCTCAATACTGTTTATATGCTGTACATAAAAAAAAAAAAAAAAAAAACAAAAGTTTTTTGTGGAAGAAAAATAAACTGTGCCTGGAGTTCTGCTTTAAAGTGAGTATACTGCATAGTGTCGGAGAGAAAGGGAGGGAATGGGAGAGAGACAGAAGAGACAGAGAGAGAGAGAGAGAGAAGACAAACAGCTGCGACTGTGCTCTTTTAGAAACCCCATAGTGCTCTGTGAATCCATCAGGTGCACAATCTAAAAAAAAAGTTTTTCTGTAAAACATTTTATATAAACCTAAAAAAACTGACCCAAAATCATTATAGCTTCCCTTAAATGTGCACACATTTAGTGTGGTTCCCATGAAGGTGAAAGTCAGGCAGTCACTGTACTTACATCAAAGCCCCAAGATATAACTGAGCTGTTATCAGTGGAGAGTTCAGCACAACTTTGAAATTCTGACCATGAAACCTCCGTATCATTTCTCTGGAATGCTGAATTTTCTGAAAACCTCTGATTTACTGGAAAAAAGAACAGACACCTTTACTAATCTACTCAAGTCAAGCAAATCAAAATTCGGATACATCAACAATCAGCTAGTTTAGGATATATAATACATGTTGTAACCAGAAACAGTCTATTTATGGTTTGTCATGTAACGAGTTGGAAGTGAAGGATTTGGTATATAAAGTGCTTTCTGGGTCAGTCATGATTCTTTTGTAAATTGTGATTCGTGATTCACACATCCCGATTTTTCAAATCGATATGCAAATATTCAAACAAAACATAATTTGACTAAATGGCATTCAATTTAACCTAAGCTGAGGTCAGACTGCTTTGTTCCATCATATCTGCAGTCATGCAAAAAAAAAAAAAAAAAATCGTTACCTTTATATTACACCTATTTACCAGGACCAGCCTAATGATCTGTACTGTATGTTTAAGCTTTCATCACCCTCAGCCTGGGTTCACACTGATACAGTGCGGCACATCGCATGTGATTCGCATAGGAACTGCACCACATTCCTGTGCAAATCACATGCGATTTCTGTGTGGTGCAATTTGAGCCATACATTTTGTATGGATCAGATTGCACTGTATCCGCACCAAAATAGTGCAGGACCCTTTTTTAGTCCACACCCAGAATCAGATCGCATGGGTGTTCACACTCATGTGATCCGATTCTGCACATCACAGCGCATTCTGTGAACTGATTTTGGGATGTCAGTTTAAAATACACACCCGCAGTGGTTCGTATGAACAGGGTGCAATTATGATGTGATACACAAATCACACAGAAACTGGCGCGAATTCCGCACCGCATCAGTGTGAACCCGGGCTGACTGTGTTTTATCTCCGTTCTCAGATTCTTCTTATTATTACTAGGCAGTTCTTCTACGTTGCCTATACTCTCAAAACAATCCAGCTTGTACCTTTCATGTTCAGAAGCCGCTATATATCGTTCACTGCCACGAGATGCGGGTAAACTGTCTATTCTGTCTGGAGGAGGATGATTCTCTGCAGCTTTGGCAAGTGTCTGATTTCTGAAATTATACACATATATTCAAAAAGGATACATTATTCAAAATCAGCTACACAGAGAACATTTTTGTAGGTTTAGAACACAAGAAACAGAATATATAGAATGTATTTCTTTAAAATATAACCTAGATCAGAAATTTACAGTACAATGGTCTCGATGGTTGAACAATCCTAATTGCTCAATAAACTGAATACTACACCATAATATTATAAGGTACTTATCCCTGCTGCAATGGTGCCTTCCTTCCTTCCCCTTTCCCCCTACCTCGTATCCCTCCCCTATTTACATCTTACTCGTTCTTAACATGGTTCACAAGACACCGAGCATACCTCTCATGTAAGCATGATTAAGACCTACAGCTTCTCCAGCCAAATGGTGGGGAACCTCCATTCTTATCTACCCCATGTATCACTGCTCTCCAATGTGAACCATTCCAAGCTGTTGTTTATATATACACCTGTTATGTTATAATCTTTCAATAAAAATCATTTGAATATAAAATATAACCTAGGGGCTCCTGTAAGATAGTCTACACAATTACCAACTCCAGTTACAATATGATGCAAAACCCTTGTAAAGTACATGGAAAAAAACTGTTTTCTTCATTTCACATGTTCCCCCTCCCAGACACTGCAGCTCATAGTGCGAGGAGCAACAGAGGCAGTGCTGGCGATCCAGACAGCGTTGTGCAGAACTAGGTGTGGCCAGATGCTGACTGACAAGCTACAGGCTTGTGATTCTGCAGTGATAATGTTCATAGCCATGCCTATTGCAACATTCTTTCAACCCACTGCAGGGTAAACAGGTACAGCCTACACAAGAGTGGCAACTTTGCACTGAATTCAGGAGCAATGCAGCATTGTTGCCACACCATCACAGGAAGCTGCATTAAGTGCACAGTTATTTATCAGACTTTGCAAGGGGGACTAACAGAAAAGTGTAAGTGCAGAGGTACTGTACATACTGTATAATTTAGGGAGAAGTATGGGCAAAGCTATTTTGGCACTACTTCTCCTATGAATCACAGAAGTGCAGTTAGTTCTGCACTCCTGTGACCCCTTTTAAGCCGACAACAGGCTAAAGCTCACTGTCTTAATGATATTTATTGATAAAAGTAGTAGATGGTGATATACTTACAAAAGACAATAGTGTAAAAGCTCACCATAAAGAACAGTAAGGCCTGGTCCGCCTGATATGGTTTTCCCCACAGGAACACTGGACCTCCAACAAGCATTTCGAGGACTTGCCTCTTCCTCAGAGCCTGTATGCAAAGTATCTGTGCCCTCTTTATAAATGGTCAAATATCAAGTCTAAGTGCTGCAGATGGGTCATCACCCCCTCACCAGAGGCGGGGACAGAACTAATAAGTACCGCCCACAGACATAAATAAAAATAAAAGTAAATGACAACAATGGATTCATAAACGTATACACAAGTCCTTGCAAGAAAGTTACAATATATATAGAAAAACTGCATAACATCTATATGAGAAACACTGTGACCATGCAAGTGTGTGTATACCTAAGAAATTGATAGAATATGCTACATACTGTATATGTACCACCTACCATGTGTGCTAATGTCCTATGGTGCATAAATGCCGGCCACGATGTATAAAATGGCAGGGTAAAACAAAATGGAGATGTGAAAGGGATAAGAGCCACGATGGATATCCGTGAATTACCTCTGCGGTAATGTTGGCTCGGGACATCCGCAGTGTGAGTGGTCTACTGGAACACACGACAGCTGCTGCAAAAGCCGGTAACATGGCCACCGTGCGCTCCACATGAGATGTGTGCATGGGGCTGGAACGCAAGCCAGCACAGGGAAGCCTTGAACGCCAAGCGGGCCCCCTCCCACAGAGCACGTCCTACTGAGAATGGGAGAGCTCACTGGCCGTTTGATGTGGCCAGCCTACGTTCCAGCGGACCACTCACACTGCAGATGTCATGAGCCAACATTACCGCAGAGGTAATTCACGGATATCCATCGTGGCTCTCATCCCTTTCACATCTCCATTTTGTTTTATCCTACCGTTTTATACATTGTGGCCAGCATTTATGCACCATAGGACATTAGCACACATGGTAGGTGGTAAATATATGTGGCATATCCTATCGATTTCATAGGTATACACAAGCTTGCATGGCCATAGTGTTCCTCATATAGATGTTATACAGTTTTCTATATATATTTTAACTTTCTTGCAAGGACTTGTGTATAACGGCTATATGAGAAACACTGTGGAAATGCAAGCATGTGTATACCTATGAAATCGATGCCTCTGGGAGCCTGAACCAGCTGCTCCATCCACTGCATAGTCCAGAGCCCCAGAGAGCACTGGAGGGTAGAGAAGAGAACCGGTCATTGACAGTCATTGCTGTCTGCTCAGTGCGGAGGGGAGAACTGAGCGACCAGCGGTGTTTGATAACTCCGTTCTCAAGGCAGAGCCAGCAGGGGAAAGATGCAGCATCAAATCTAATGCTGTATCCACCTAGGTGAGTATAAATGTTTTTTCCACAACCCCACATGTCTCTTTTAAGCGCTGCATCACATTTTTATTTTTTATGGCAGGCCATTTATTCTACTTTAAATCATATTACAATACACAGGTTACTAGCATGGTGTGTTGGGCATACTACAGGCTCCATAGAAAGCCAGCAATAAAAGTAACCATTGCATAAACAGATGTGTTGTTCAGGAAAAACAAAGAATCCTGTACTAAAAGGAAGATTGTGGGAAGAAAAAAAAAAGAAACAACAAATTGTAAGCACGGCTACGTGACATGCACTTTTCAAGTGCACTTTATAACAACACTTAATTTATCCATTATGCCCCCTTTACCATCCTTAAATTAACCCCTTAAAGTCTGTATTTACTGGACACCAAAAGTACACAATCCAACTAACTGGACTGACCATCCTACTGGTTGCTAGCCTCTAATCTGGTCTTGCATCACACACATGCCCAGCTCAGGATGTGTCCAGCAATCCCTTACATGTCACAAGGTAAAAATAAAAAGCTAAAATAAAGACAAAAGTACATAAGAAGCGGTAATAGCACAAGAGAAAAGGTCGCTGAAAACAAAGTAAGTGAAAAAAATAGGAGAAAGCATTTGTTTTAATTATAATAAATACAACTTACATGTGTAAAATCTGTGATACTGGCTTTCTTTTGTATCTGGAAATCATTCTAGTCACTTATTCATATCTCCAAGATGCCTGCATTGTAAAGACATTAACATGTTAGTTTGCAATTACAATGACTGTCCTTTCATTTGCTTTCATATGTATCCCCGGCTTTAATGTCAGGGAACAAATGCACCATATGGGACCCGTCGTCCACAGATTGTAACCCCTATACACTTGTTTTGTACATGGTCTGGTAGTCCTTTTTTCTTGTCTAATGGTGGCCATACACTAAATAATTTTATATATGATCGATTGATTTACTATCTGATCATAAATTTGATTGGTAGATTAATAAGATCCTCTGATGGGCCATGCACCTAAAGTGATACTATTTACATAAAAATAAAAAAAGAGGTTGTACCTATCTCCTCTGTGCAATAATATTGCATAGAAAGCACCCTCTTCTGCCACCTCGCCAGCTATATCAGCTCACTTCATCACTGCCTGCAATTGAAGAGAGGAGTGCAGACAGTGGGGTAGCCCAGAGCTGCCTGCAGCCTACTCCCTCTGCTAAGGGACTGTCTGGATATTCATCAGAGGGAACCTGCCAGCTACTTTCTCCCCTCTGCTCAGCTAGGCATAGGTAGAAGGCAGGGGGAAGCAACTTCTCTCAGTTCATTCTCCCTCTGGTAAGCATCTGTACATACAATTATCATAGAGAGCCAGCCTGATGTACAGAATTGGTGAGACCAGGTGGACATCTGCAGCTAATATCGGTTCACATTGTAGCACAGATATTAATTTATAGGGCACAGAAACATCACACCTGAACCAAAAAGCTGTCAGAAAAACAATGATTTATCAGGCCGTGTCTCCTGAAGCACGTCCTGAGTCTCCAACAATTCCTATAGCACGTCCTGAGTCTCCAACAATTTCTATAGCATGTCCTGAGTCTCCAACAATTCCTATAGCACGTCCTGAGTCTCCAACAATTCCTATAGCACGTCCTGAGTCTCCAACAATTCCTATAGCACGTCCTGAGTCTCCAACAATTCCTATAGCATGCCCCCAGTCTCCAACAATTCCTATAGTATTGCCACAGTCTCCAACAATTCCTACAGCATGTCCTGAGTCTCCAACAATTCCTATATTATGCCCCCTAGTAGTCTCCAACAATTCCTATATTATAGCCCCAGTCTCCAACAAATCATATAGTATTCCCACAGTCTCCAACAATTGCTATAGCATGTCCTGAGTCTCCAACAATTCCTGTAGCATGCCCCCAGTCTCCAACAATTCCTATAGCATGTCCTGAGTCTCCAACAATTATTATAGCATGTCCTGAGTCTCCAAGAAGTCCTATAGCATGTCCCGAGTCTCCAACAATTCCTATAGCATGTCCTGAGTTTCCAACACTTCCTATAGCATGTTCTGAGTCTCCAAAAATTCCTATAGCATGCCCCCTAGTCTCCAACAATTCCTATAGTATGCCCCCATTCTCCAATTCCTATATTATGCCCCCAGTCTCAAACAATTCCTATAGCATGCCCCAGTCTCCAACAATTCCTACAGCACATCCTGAGTGTCCAACAATTCCTAAAGCATGCCCCAGTCTCCAACAATTTCTATAGTATGCCCCCAGTCTCCAACAATTCCTACAGTGCCTTGAAAAAGCATTCATACCCTTCGAAATTTTCCACATTTTGTCATGTTACAACCAAAAACGTAAATATATTTTATTGGGATTTTATGTTATAGACCAAAACAAAGTGGCACATAATTGTGAAGTGGAAGGAAAACGATAAATAGTTTTCAAATTTTTTTTACAAATAAATATCTGAAAAGTGTGGCGTGCATTTGTATTCAGCCCCCCCCCCACTGTTTCACCATCCACACTGTGAAACATGGTGATGGCAGCATCATGTCGGGATGCTTTTCTTCAGCAGGGACAGGGAAGCTGGTCAGAGTTGATGGGAAGATTTATGGAGCCAAATACAGGGCAATCTTAGAAGAAAACCTGTTAGAGTCTGCAAAAGACTTGAGACTGGGGCGGAGGTTCACCTTCCAACAGGACAATGACCCTAAACATACAGCCAAAACTACAATGGAATGGTTTAGATCAAAGCATATTCATGTGCTGGAATGGCCCAGTCAAAGTCCAAACCTAAATCCAAATGAGAATCTGTGGCAACACTTGAAAATTGCTGTTCACAGATTCTCTCCATCCAATCTGACAGAGCTTGAGCTATTTTACAAAGAAGAATGGGCAAAAATTTCACTCTCTAGATGTGCAAAGCTGGTAGAGACATACTTAAAAAGACTTGCAGCTGTAATTACAGTGAAAGGTGGTTCTACAAAGTATTCAAAGTATTGACAATTTATATAGCATGACCCCAGTCTCCAACAATTCCTATAGCATGCCCCCAGTCTCCAACAATTCCTTTAGCATGCGCCCAGTCTCCAAACATTCCTATAGCATGCCCCCATCTCCAACAATTCCCTATAGCATGCCCCCAGTCTCCAACAATTCCTATAGCATGCCCCCATTCTTCAACAATTCCTATATTATGCCCCCAGTCTCCAAAAATTCCTATATTATGCACCCAGTATATTCCTATAGTAGTCCCCAGTCTCCAACAATTCCTATAGTAGGCCCCAGTCTCCAACAATTCCTATAGTAGGCCCCCAGTCTCCAACAATTCCTATAGTAGGCCCCCAGTCTCCAACAATTCCTATAGTAGGCCCCCAGTCTCCAAAAATTCCTATAGTAGGCACCCAGTCTCCACCAATTCCTATAGTAGGTCCCCTAGTCTCCAACAATTCCTATATTATGCCCCCAGTCTCCAACAATTCCTATAGTATTCCCACAGTCTCCAACAATTCCTATAGCATGTCCTGGGTCTCCCAACAATTCCTATAGCATGTCCTGAGTCTCCAACAATTCCTATAGCATGTCCTGAGTCTCCAACAATTCCTATAGCATGTCCTGAGTCTCCAACAATTCCTATAGCATGTCCTGAGTCTCCAACAATTCCTATAGCATGTCCTGAGTCTCCAAAAATTCCTATAGTATGCCCCCAGTCTCCAACAATTCCTATAGTATGCCCCCAGTCTCCAACAATTCCTATAGTATGCCCCCAGTCTCCAACAATTCCTATAAAACCCAGTCTCCAACAAGTCCTATAGTCTCCAAAAATTCCTATATAACCCAGTCCCCCAGTCTCTGGTCCTTGTAGAAAACCTCCACATCATATTGTGTGTCTGCAATCTCTGACAGCTTTCTGTAGCATTTCATTCACTAATAATTTATGTGCAGCCCTTTAAAGCAGATATGTGATATGTGATGTGCAGATCCCAGGAGGTACAGCGAGCACTGTACACATTTACCTAGGTTAACGATGTGCATGGGGAGGCAGGAACAGACACTGCTCCTATAGCACGTCCTGAGTCTCCAAAAATTCCTATAGCATGCCCCAGTCTCCAACAATTCCTATAGTATGCCCCCAGTCTCCAACAATTCCTATAGTATGCCCCCAGTCTCCAACAATTCCTATAGTATGCCCCCAGTCTCCAACAATTCCTATAGTATGCCCCCAGTCTCCAAAAATTCCTATATAACCCAGTCTCCAACAATTCCTATATAACCCCGTCTCCAACAATTCCTATAGCATGTCCTGAGTCTCCAACAATTCCTATAGCATCTCCAACAATTCCTATAGCATGTCCTGAGTCTCCAACAATTCCTATAGCATGTCCTGAGTTTCTATAGCATGTCCTGAGTCTCCAAAAATTCCTATAGTATGCCCCCAGTCTCCAACAATTCCTATAGTATGCCCCCAGTCTCCAAAAATGCTATATAACCCAGTCTCCAACAAGTCTTATAGTATGCCCCCAGTCTCTGGTCATTTCTTGTAGAAAACCTCCACATCGTGTTGTGTGTCTGCAATCTCTGACAGCTTTCTGTAGCATTTCATTCACTAATAATATTATGTGCAGCCCTTTAAAGCAGATATGTGATGTGCAGATCCCAGGAGGTACAGCGAGCACTGTACACATTTACCTAGGTTAACGATATGCATGGGGAGGCAGAACAGACACTGCTTCCTATAGCACGTCCTGAGTCTCCAAAAATTCCTATAGCATGCCCCAGTCTCCAACAATTCCTATAGTATGCCCCCAGTCTCCAACAATTCCTATAGTATGCCCCCAGTCTCCAAAAATTCCTATATAACCCAGTCTCCAACAATTCCTATATAACCCAGTCTCCAACAATTCCTATAGTAGGTCCCCAGTCTCCAGCAATTCCTATAGAAGGCCCCCAGTCTCCAAAAATTCCTACAGTAGGCCCCCAGTCTCCACCAATTCCTATAGTAGGTCCCCCAGTATCCAACAATTCCTATAGTATGCCCCCAGCCTCGAACAATTCCTATAGTATGCCCCCAGCCTCGAACAATTCCTATAGTATGCCCCCAGCCTCGAACAATTCCTATAGTATGTCCCCAGCCTCCAACAATTCCTATAGTATGTCCCCAGCCTCCAACAATTCCTATAGTATGCCCCCAGCCTCCCCCTACAGTATGCCCACAGCCTCCAACAATTCTATAGTATGCCCTCCAACAATTCCTATAGTAGGCCCCCAGTCTCCAACAATTCCTATAGTATGCCCCCAGTCTCCAACAATTCCTAATTCCCCCAGTAACAATTCCTAATTCCCCCAGTCTCCAACAATTCCTATATTATGCCCCCAGTCTCCAACAATTCCTATAGTATGTCCGTAGTCTCCAACAATTCCTATAGTATGTTTCCCAGTCTCCAACAATTCCTATAGCATGCGCCCCCAGTCTCCAACAATTCCTATAGCATGTCCCCAGTCTCCAACAATTCCTATAGCATGTCCCCAGTCTCCAACAATTCCTATAGTATGCCCGTAGTCTCCAACAATTCCTATAGTATGCCCTCAGCCTCCAACAATTCCAGTATGCCCCCAGTCTCCAACAATTCCTATAGTATGCCCCCAGTCTCCAACAATTCTTACAGTATGCCCCCAGTCTCCAACAATT